ATATATATATATATATTATTAATTGACTACAGGACCCGCCGAGAGTGGTTTTTGAGAGGCGAGCGAAGGAAGGTGACCACTTGCCCGCGTTTCCTCGAATCACAAACGCAATCAAATTCGGCTCTTCGCGGGAGCAATTACTCAGTCCGAGCGAGCACAAATTACAATGTACACACGCAGCCATGTATACATATTTATGTGCGTACACATGTACAGACAACACGCGTACCTCCCTGAAAGCGAAAGAAGAAAGGATGAGAATCGAGAATGGAGGAGTAATGTTGTACACATGCAGGAGGGGAAGGAGCTCCCGATTGAAATTACATCGATAATCGAGGGGAAAGCGCGGCGGTGCGTATACACACATATATAGTACAAACCTTATACCGATCGATCGCCACATAAACATCCGTACATGTATATTCATACAGGTATGTAAGCACATAAAAGTCTGGAGACACACGAGCGAGAGAAGATGCATTATACATATATATATATGTATGATAAGTATGAAGCCCAAAACCGGCATGAGGACAGCAGCTGCAGGTGATCGGCTGTGTAACATCAGGTCCGCAGCCGTCGGTGACGTTGTCTCTGTTTCCGAAAGTTGTCGCCGTCGTCCATAGGGTACGTGAGCTGATTATTAATACGTACTTTGTATGTCACCGCGTTACCTATACGTTTTGTGTGTGTGAGTGTGTGTTTAACATGTAACGGCAACCCTCTTCAACAGATTTGGCGGTTTGCCCCGCAGTGGTAGAAAATTTTTTCAAAATTAACGAAAACCATCAAAAAGGAACGAGACAACACCACAAATGGCTGTAGGATGCACCGTGGCGGAGCGTCATTCAGCTATATACACACCCAATCTCATCGTGTACTTTCAGATGCGCATGTATCCTATCCTTGTAACGCGCGTGTACACACCTCCGCGTTCAATTAATGCACCACATGACGTTGTTCACGAATAAACGGAAACATAACGCAGAACGAGAACTATGTAGGAGGGGCAAGGGATCGAAGGGTCCTGACGCTTAGCCGATCGAACGGGAGAAAAAAGAAATTACACATCAACCGAAGCGTCGATGATAGATGCACTTCCGTGGCTGAATGTAGTGTATATAACGATGCGAGGGCGGGTCGCGGGTACACCTTAACAATCATCCACAAAAGGTACGTATGGACCAAAGTGTGCGTATGTGCGCTGTATACATCAATTGTCGTGACTCCCCCTTTTTGTTTCGTTTGATGATGTGTTGCTGTTGTTTTTCGATTCACCCATACTACATAAATTGTATTTGAAAATCACCGGGACTGATACATAGAGGGATTATTTCTTATTTGGGAATCTTTAAAAAAAAAAACAATCAATTGATAGTGAGTGGAATTAACATCTGGTGCTTCTTTGAGATGAGCTTTTTCGATGTAATATACGTAGCTTTTCCATACTCGCTGTATAAAAATCGTACTTGTAATAAAAATAAAAGGTAAAACAAATAGCTCCCTTATCGTCAAGCTGTCGCTGTATCCGATACGTACACAAAAAAACACAAAATGTCATTAGTGCCCCCCTCTCGGGACTCGGGGGAAAAAAAAAAGTTATACTATTCATTATCGAGGTGTACAGGTATAGGACCCTCGCGCGCATGCTTTTAGCGTCAGATGGTTGCGTTTTGAGAGAGAAACTCGCTCGTATACGGCAGCAGCAGTGCATTCCCATAAATCAACGACGAGGAGCGCGCTTCTTTGGAAATCAAAAAAATTAGGCGACCATGTAGGTGAGAGACCGTGTACACACATATAGATACACGGTGACATTGTCATGCAAATGCGTAGTTCGTCGCGTTACGGTGTCTGTCCGTGTTCCGAACGAAATTTCACGGGAATTCGTTGTTTATAAATGTTTTATTACGAGAAAGAGCCTCTCGACCGTGTCATTCGTTGTAAAAAAAGATGACATATTATAAAAAATTTTTATTGTAATCGCTGAAAGTGTATTCGTGAAATCGAGGAGACGATGTATTCTTTTGAAAACGAAAAAAAAAAAGTAAAAAAATCGTTTGTACTATTCGAAAAAGAAGGTTTTTTTTTCTTTTTTTTTTTTTGAAATTTGAATACAGGTTTTTCCGTTCTTGGAATCTTGGGTAGTTATACGTTACATGCGCGAGTTGAAAATTCGAAGCCGACAAGTGCACAGCCTCAATTGTTATTTCTTACCCGCGGCACTTGGAAAAACAAAACAAGACCGTCCCGAGAGCGCATCAAATTCAGATTCACCGGTCACGATGGCTTTGCTTGTAAAAAAAAAAATAATAATAATAATAAAGCTCTCGGATTGAAAAATCTTCAATCCCCCCCCGGAAAAAGCTCAACAACCCCCTGACCGGCAAATCCATACAACGTCACCGGACAAACACCCCCTCGGGGGGAAAAGAAAAGCCAAAAACTCATTTTCCAACGTGTATACCCGCCCGTTGCACACCAGCCCCTTTTCGGTGTGTGTATATATATGTATAAAAGTACCGCGTGCGCCGAACGGACACGCACGCAGAAACGGTGCCCGAAAGCAGATGGGGCCCCTCGCAGTAAGCAGGGTATACGTATATATACACCTATTCCGGTAAAATGAGGATGAGGAGGAAGAGCGTCCGAGGTTTTTCTGGTCACGACATCAGGGGCATCGCGGAGCGGAACGAAGTGCCAAACCAACTGTTTCTCTCTTGGTGCTCTGGCCACGCGACCGGAGCGTGCGGCCATCAGGTATACACATACGCGGTCATCGTATATACGATGGGATGAGTGTTTTTTTTTTCCCCCCTTTACAAGGCGAGAGGGGGTGGATGCACGCAAGTACCCACACACACATATGGATAATTTTCATCTGCCATTGTGCCCCTATTCTTTTCTTTCCCGTGACGCGGAGAAAGTGCCCCGTGGATCTTGATACGGGGAGGAGAGACGCGATCGATCGGAATCACGGGGTGTCTGTGTATCAGACACTCACATCCTTGGGTCTAGGCGCCTGGTCTGGCTCATTGTTTGGTACAAATCTTTAAATTTCTTTTTTTTTTTTTTTTCTTAGATATTCGTCATTGAAGCCGTACACGCGCTGTGTAATTACCGTATACACTGGAAAACTTGTAATTTTCCTTGATCCGAAAATAATTATGGACTCGTTGATTTTTTTTTTTTCCCGTAAATTCAAGTTAAACGCGTACACGGATA